CACAAGTCCCAAAGTACTGCTGTCCAAAGGAGTGAGCAGAACTGTAGCACAAGGCAGATCCAAAGTCATTTGGAAATCCAATGGCTCTGATCTCTCATGGCACTTTGAGGCTTTGGCCATGAGCTTATAATGGTTAATTGAGGGAACTGTGAATTTTCAGGGCCCAGCAGTCCCGCAGTGCTGCATCACACGGTACCACCCGAGCAGCCCATCCAAACAGGAAATTCCTCGTGGTTTCTGTGTCCTCAGCCCTGGCGCACCACCTGATCCTTCCAGGCCAGCAGAAATGCAGCTCCTTGGCTTCAGAATCTCTCCTCCCCACGTATTTTTGGTGCTCCAGAGGACTGAAGGAGCACTGGCTTCAGCGTTATGTTCACACCGAGTCAGCATCTCCTGAGCAGCCAGGACACCTCACACCTGACTGACAGCTCAGGACCTTCCTGTGGGTTTGTCATCCAGTGCCAATCCTGGGGCAGACTGACACCCTCACAGACCAGGGCAGACAAAAGCTTCCTATGTTCCCTGCTGTGCCCCACAGTCTGGGGGCCAAGCACCGCCCGTCCGTTTTGGGGAGCACCCAAAATCTGCCTCATCATGACAATGGTGTGAAGCTCTTGCCCAGCCCTATAGATTTCTCCCAGCTCTGTGGTGAAGGGAAGGAGACCACAGCAAGATGCTACACCGCTCAGGAAGGGAATCAGCTTTGCCAGGAAAAAAAGAAGTGAATAGGTTATAAAAGTTAACATGTCCTCACCAAACCTGTTAGGATAATTAAATAGTGCTTTTTTTCTCCCCACTTTTCTGCTCTGTTCTTTGCACACTCTCAGAGTCTTCACTGACTTGAAGCTTTTCAAGGAGCTGATTGAAATTCCAAGAATTTCACCTTTCAAATCCATTTTTTCATTGCCTTCCTTTTTTTGGTTTGTTTCTCAAAGCATCCTTTTCCTCTCCAATCTTCAACACTGTTATTTTCAACCAGTTCTAAGAATAGTTAAAAGGCTGTTGAATTCCAAACCCCCGTAGCATTTTCAGGAAAAGCAGGGAATGTTTTAAAGCAGAAATCATGTCTCACTAGCTTCAGGGGTTTGGGTTGCACTGTTGTTGTTGATGTCAGTATAATCAGGGCTGTGAGCACGGCTGCCTCAGAGAAGACTTTCCTTATGCTCAGTTCCAGGGCTAAGGAATGTTTGTGTCAATTTTTTAAAAAAAAAGTGTAACTGATAGGATTTGATGATGACCTGCAATCAATATCCCTGGTGCCAACAAGACCTCAAAGGCCAGAGCATGGTGAAAACAATGGAAAAACTCCCCTTGTTTTCAGTATTCTATGGAACATCCCCTAAACTTTAATCCAGCAGAGACACGAACCCATGTTTAATTTATAACCCAACCCCAGGGAACTAAGAAGTGCTTCAGGGCAAATGCCTGTTCAGTGCTTTGAGTGAGCCCCAGGTGAACAGCACTTGCAGGAATGTCTTCTTACCCTCCCAAAAATGCTGCTGCGTTATCCTTTGGCTGTCACATTCCTTTGCATCCCACTGCAGCACTGTTGGGAGGAACGGGATTTATCCACAGGGTATTAAATCAGTAGGAAGAGGAAGCAGAAGCGTAATCCATTTCATCTCTCTTAAAAGAGAAGCAGCAAAAACCTTCTAGTGATTTGTCCAAGGGAGCGTCATGACATCTTTGCATTTGACTAAAACTTAGGGTTCCTTAAAAATAGACTGAGATTGGGTTGCATTCATTAAATCTGTAGTTTTAGTGATAAGCTAAAAGGCCTGAAACCAATTTTGCAAATTTATAATTTATCAACTTGACCGAAAGAGTAAACTAGCAATCTAGATCTCTCCAAACCCCAAGCACAGAACCTGATTAGTTGTAAGCGTTAATTCACTCTCCCCACAGAGATGGCACTGGGAGGACTTCATACCACGAACACCACACGGAAAAGAACGGCAAGCAAATAACGGCGTGTGCTCAGTACAAGAAGAGACAACTATTTATTTAGTGCAGCGAGTTCAGTCAGTTCAGCCTCCTGCTTCCACAAGTTCGGGGCTGGGAGAGGGGAATTTGCCCTCTCAGCTTAGTTCTCGCTGGACATTTTTGGCTCGAAAGGAAAGCACTGCACAGCCTGGCACATTAAGGCAGGACAGGAGGTGTTTGCAAGTCAGGGCTGAGGTGCGTTGTGGCATCTACACTGGATCTACCCGACTCAACACTAGACCCACACTTCAAAAAGCGCTACAGCCAAGTCCAGTAGAGTCTAAAGGTGCCTTGTTTTGAAGCAAACAGCCCACACGACTATCCAGGGAGGGGAACAGGGATTTGGAGCTTCTAGGACAGCGGGCACACCGGACATTCAGCAGTTCACTAGCCAGACATTCTTTGCACTGAGGAGAAACCAGGACTGAAAAGGAATTCAGGTGCTGCATGACATGGTGGGAATGGCACAGAAAAGACATCACAGACACTTTGTGGGAATGCAGGAAGGGGCGTTTCCAGCTCAGCTTCTCTCCCCCTCCCCAGACTGCAATAATACAACACATATGTATGCACACACACATGTGCAGGATATTCTTGAAGGCAGGGTGGTGTATTTACACACACACATGCACACACACACACACACACACACAGACAGGTGTTTTCCAAACTGAACTGCCAAAGAGGTGGGAATCTGGACAGCAGACTCTTAAGTGATCACAGGACGTGGAAAATCCCTTGGGAACAGGACATACCATGTTCAAAAATCCCTTACAAACAGGCAAAAATCCCTCACAGGATGTGCAGGGCAGGTTCAAAGGAGTGACAAACCCAGCTGAGGAGCTGCAGCCCCATCACCACCTCTGTGGTGCGCTTCTGGATGAAATTAGTGGCCTTGCATCCAAGTGCTCTAAGGGCAGGCAGGGTGTGGAGGTGGAGAAATGTTTAAGGCCCATGGTTGGCTGAGAACTGTTTTTTCCCCTCTTCTGTTGGCAAAGGTTAGGTTAAGGAAATAAAACCACTTCAGAAAGTAAAACTGGAGACTCAAATGAAGCAAGGATTTCATTTTCCTCCCCCTGATCTCTCAGTGCTGGTCAGGGCAGAACAGACAGAGGCTGTGTCTAATGTCACACACTGCTGAAAATAATCCCAGGCCAGCGCTGAGAGGGAGGGAAAGGACAGGAAAGGTAGAAATATCTCTTGAAAACAGAAGTCACTGTCTGAAAATCACCCCTCTGCTTGGCAAAACCTGAGCAGGGGGGACTGTGGTGTGGAATGGGGTCTCTCCCCAGGGTGGAAAAGGGTGTGCCTGGGGCAATTCCAGGATCTGGGCACATCCCATTCTCACTGTGTCCTCTGCCAAAGCCGTGCTGCAGTCACTGCAAGGGAGCTGAGCAGGGGCTGCTTCTGAGCTTCACTCTCTCCCATCTCTGCTTTCCAAACACCTTTCCTATTCCTTTGCCACCATTTGCCCTCTCCTCTCCCCCCCCCCCCCAAAACTCAGAAATTACCTCTGGACATCTGCAAAACAGGATGAGAGGAAATAAGATCTCTAGAGAAAAGTGGTTTTAAAGAAGTCCTACCATGGACCCTTCTGCTTCAAACCATTCCCCTGGCTGGCAGTGACACACTGTGACCAGGAGATACATCCCCAGTGCATGCCAAGAGTGCTTTAGGCTACCAGGATTTCGCCTGGAGCTGCAGCCCTCCTTCCCAAAGCCCCTGTGAACCCAACATGCCCACCCGTCTCTGTACTGGTACAGGTGGAGGGAGGCACCGACCTTCAGCTGTATCTTGGTCATCAGAAGGCAGCATCTGATATTCCCAGAGGCCCCGCACCTTTGGGAATATTTTATGAGCCTTGGGAAAAAGAGAGTGACAAAGCTCACCACAGGAAAGGTTAGGCTGCACCACCAGCCCTTAGGTTTGGGGAAGACGTGCATTCAGCAGATCAAATTTGGAGGTAAATAAAACAGACGTGAGCCAAGAGAAGAATTTCCAGATCAGGTTATACACTCCAACCATCCTAATTCAGTGACTGTACCAGAAGCAGACACTGCACAGGCAGCACCTAAGGACCTTTCTCTGGCCCTGCACCCCCTGAGTTCATACATCCAGCTCAGTTAAAGGTGTCTGACAGGTTCTGGAACTGAACTCACTCCTCTTTGCCAGAGCCTCTTACTGATCATCGCCCTAACCCTTGCCCATGGGCTGCAGCTGCTGCTGAGCTCCAGATCCCGCAGTTCTGACCCTATCTAATCTCTGACTTATTTAAAAACAAAATGTAAGGTCTTTTTATAAGACTCTGTTTTGCAACAGCCAAGAGAAGCCTAATGGACACCCAAGGGTGTTAGAAGAGCATCAGCCAAAGCACTTAACACCCTCTCTTCTCCCCCTCCCAAGGTCCGGCTTTAGAGCCAAGGTACTCACCCATGAAACCAGGCTGATCCCGAGGGCTGGGAATTTGTCTCCATTTCCAAAATGTGGACAAGTCACAAATCCCTGCTACTATGACAGGAGGGAGGTAAGAAATCCCCCCAGGACAGACTTGCCCTTGAACAGGGTTTCTCTGCTATAAAGTAGGTCAGTGTTACTCTCATGGGCTCCCAGATCCTCTCTGCCCCTAAAACCAACTCATGTCTCTCCGTTTTCAGTCTTCCCATGTACTGAGAGACCACAGCCTTCAGTGGGAAAAAAATCCAGAGAAAGGCCTGATCCAAATCCCCAAAAAATGAAGACGAACAGTCCATCTGACCTTGAAGGAGCTTGGGCTGGGGCCACAGCACCCTGCAAAGCCCAGCCTAACTTTAGGAAATACTAGATCCAAAACAAAGTCTCCCTATCCCAAACGCTGCCCACACGGCCCTGGGGAGCCCTGGGAGCCTAAAGGCTGCCTGCCAACGTGCAAGGAACAGAGCAGGTGGCAGCTGCTGCCAGCCTGGCATCAGCAGGGGACTCGACCGGGTCCCAGCACGGCCCCTCCGGGCACTGCCCCGCTGGCAGCTCAGAGCAGGGACCCGAGGGGACATCCCAGGCTCAGGCTCAGCATCCACCTGCAGCTGTTTCCTGCAGGGCACTTCCCAGTCGGGTGATTAAAGGTGGTTTGATGAGCAGTAGGTACACGAGACACCTATCAGAGATCACACACTGCTGTTTGGTCAGGGAGCTGCCTTCTGCCTGCCATTGCCCCGGGAGTGCTGGGTAAACGCCACCCAGCACCGGCCAACTGGGCCCTGGCACTCCCCTCCCATCTTCTTTACCACAACCCAACTTCAAACCAAACCAAACAGAAACCAAAACACAAAGTGGGGACTCCAGATGGGACGTAGAACACTTTGGACTTGAAAACAGGGGACTGCAAGAGAGAGGGGGGGTGTCTCCCAGGGAGAACAGCGAGGGAGGGGAGGGGACACCGTCATTTACACCGAGGAGAAGCTGTAACCTATACACAGTGGTAAAAGCCAAGATATATTACATGAAAGAACACACTGAGTGCATGGAGTTACCCACACTGGGTCAAACTGGCACAGTTGTCTTGAACAAGACCCTTGCAGTTGCAGTTGGTGTTTGTTGTTGACCTATCTAGCTCGCTCTCTATATATATAGCTATGTATAGAATTTCTCTGCATGCATTTGTCTCAAAAGGAGCTGTACAGCTGGGCTGAGTTTCTCATCCCCACCCCGTCTCGGTCTTCATTTTTTCCGGGCTAGGATCGCCACTCCCACAATCACAGCCAGCGCAGCCGCCGCCACCCCTCCAACGATGATCAAGGGCTTCATGTTGTCGAAGAAGCTGCCCGGTGACTCCTCGGAGCTGTTTCCCTTGTGGTCAGAGTCAGGGGACTGGCCGGTGGCCTCGTGCGTCTCCGTGCCGGCGGGGCTGGGTTTCAGGTTGCTGTGGTTGTTCACGACGGCAGCATCGCCACCCGCCTTCTTGGCGGCAGCGGCAGGAGCAGGCGGCTCCTTGGGGACCTCCTTCTTGTCTGCATTCGTGGCAGGCCCAGGATTGGGCTTCTCTGGCTTTGCGGAGCCGGCGGCCTTGGCGTCGGGTTTGTTTCCACTTCGGACGTTGCCTTTGGAATCCATCCTGCGAGTGCTGTGGGCAGTGAGTGGATGCCACGCGCTCGGGGCTGTCCCAGCAACTCTCCTTTGCCCGGCTGCTGGAGGAAGCAGAGGAGCCAGCCGAGCTCAAGCCCTCAGAGCAGTTGTCTTGGGATGATTCTCACGCTGGCACTGTCCTACCTGGACATCATACGGCACCTGGAAGAGGAAGCAGAGCAATGAGAGCTGAGTGACAGGACAGAGCAAGCCAGTGCTGTTCTGCCTGGAGGCAGTGCAGGAAAGGACGGAAAACTGGAAAACTGTTGGCTCTTTCTTTTGGAACTGTGAGCTGCACTCAAAGCATTTACCACAGACTCTGCATCTGCAACAATCACAGAACCATAGAATGGCCTGGGTTGGAAGGAACCTTAAAGCCCATCCAGTGCCATCCCCTGCCGAGGGCAGGGACACCTTCCACTATTCCAAGTTGTCCAAGCCCCGTCCAACCTGGCCTTGGACACTTCCAGGGATGGGGCAGCCACAGCTTCTCTGGGCAACCTGTGCCAGAGCCTCCTCACTCTCGCAGGGAAGAATTTCTCCCTAGTACCAAACTAGAACATTAAACAAGTCAGACTGACTGTCATCTCTGGCTGCCAAGACCAGGCAAATCGAGACAAGCCCATCCTGCCTGTGCATGTGATGCCATTTGTCAGCCATGAGAAACTCACATCCAACCAAATAAATCTTACTTTGCATTTGTTTACCCTTACCATTTCTTTGGGGTAAGGAGAGAGCACTTTGTTCCATGGGAAAGTGGATCCATAGCTCCTCCCTGCTCGTGTCTCACCCTCCACGCTTTCTTTTGCAGCACTATCCCAAGTTAAATTTGGGAAGTGGGCTTTGAAGGGTTGCGGAACCACCACAAAAACATCCCCCCACAAACCTCCTGGGGCAGGGGGAGTGATGGAGGAGAGACACAGCACTGGGCAGTGCAGCACCACGTCAGCTCCGAGCTGGGAAATGACGGTGAGCAGGGGCAGCGGTGGGATCCGAGCTGCCGGCTGCCCTGCTTCCCACTGACCTCTAGGGCTGCCAGGAGCCTGCAGGGAGCCTTCTGCCTGCTAAGGGAAATCAGAGCTTATTACCTGTCTGGACTGAGAGTGGAGAGGCTCCTCCAAAACCTCAACAAATAGACATCCCTTCCACAGCGGCTCAGAGTGCACATCTCTCCTCTAATGACAGCAAGGAGGTCCCAAGGTTGCAGCAATGGTCTGTGCTGCTGACTCTTCCGGAAAATAGGCTGACAAATGTGGTGGTTTCATGTCCATCTAGGCAGGAACGCAGTCCTGCAGGAAACCTGCTCACAAAAATGCTGGGTTTGGGTCTAGAGCAAAGCTGGGTAACACCTTATGGCTCAGCATGAGAAGGAAACAGTTCCCTCTCCTGCTCTCCCTTGTAAGCCATTGCTCAGTGGCCACCAGCTGCTCCAGTGCCAGTTACTGAGGGAACTGCTGCACCAAAATCACAGAATTCCACAGCTCTCATTGAATATCCTAAATTGGAGGGCACCCACAAGGATTTTAAAGTTCGGTCCCTCATGCTGCACCAGGCCTGGTGACCATAGAAACCCCATAGTCTCATTGACTGCAGCTGGACAATACCTGAGTTTGTGATATTAATATCGATATCAAACCACTTTGGAAAGCCCAAACTCCACCACCCTCCCCTCACACATTGCTGAAGGTGTGTCAGACACTTGGGCATCTTATACCACACAAACACCATCCCAGATGCTCACCAAGCTTCAGTCCTTCTCTGTGGCTTGGGGTTTGGGAGGTAAACATATTCCTGGCCAAGTGGAAGAATGTTTTCCTCTCACTGCTCATTCTGTAATATTTCTATAGGTATCACCTGCCTCACATTTTTCTACTGCTTCCAGAGAGCACTCCCACTGCTCTGTCAGTACAAATCCTACATGGACCCAGGGCTGAGGCTGCACACAGTCACTCACAAGGACTCTGATCCTCTGGTTTGGGATGAATTTAGCCTCATTTTCCACCCAGGACAAAGAGGACACAAATAAATAGTAAGTGGAGCCCATGACTAAAGCAGGCTCAGAGGTTAAAGCAGAGAGAGTCAGATTGATCGTGGTATAAATATTAAATTACCCACTTAGTTGCTTTGGTACAGTTAGCCGGGCTTCTCACACACTGATATCCGTGTGGCTACAGTACACGGACCAACCACTGAACTTCTGCTCTTTCCCTAGGAAAGCCACGTGCAGCCTGAGGAAAGGGGGTAAATCACAGAGAAGGTAAACTCACATTTTGCTGAGAAATGGGGACCCTGCACAGCCCCAGTACCCCACAGTTCATCTACAGCCCTCACTGATCCGATTTGCAGATTCCTGGGAGTAGGAGAGCTAGTTTTGCTTGAAGCCCATGCTGGGCCATGGAGCCTCGTCCTGCTGCCATGCCCTGCACTGCCACAAACAGAATTTCTTGATTCTAAGTGAATTTCCATCTAAAAACAATGCAAACCCCTCACACAGCTCAGAAAAGGTTTTAAAAGATGTAGAAACCAAAGTAAGCCAAAAATCAATACCTCCAGTTCTTAAGTGCCCACATAAAAGGGTTTTTGTCTGTGATTTCCCATCACTGGAATTAGCCACAGGATTGCCCAGCAGCTCTCCAGACCCTTTGGCCTGACTCCTCCTGCTCCTCAGGACACTGGGGACTCTCAACAGCACACCCTCTTGCAACACAGTACTTAACCCTCCCTTTGTGCTGTTAAGTACTTCCCAGACTCCCTGCCTTGGGAATCATCTCCACTCTCCACTCCTGTACTTCCATGGGAACAGCCATGTGCTGGTCTTTAAGCACTTCTGTCTCCCACCCCAGACTGAAAAGAAAGGTGCTTTCCTCATATCCAAAACCTAAATCTGCACATGAGGGTTTCCCCTCCCATCCCTTTGTCTCTTCTTCCCTCCTTCCATCACACAAAGTTTCATCTCTAATGACACATTTCTCTACCTTTGCTTTCATCTTTGTAGCTCCTCACATCTATTTATTCCTCCCTTCTCCTCATCAGCTGCTGTCTCAGCCTGGCTACCCATTCCTCCCCCCATCCAGCTCTGTCTCTGCCTCCTACACAGGCAGCAGCACTTGGGAATAAGGTTTTGTGGGAGACAGGATTCATTTCGTCCCTTTTTCCCCGCTCCATGCCATTTCTGTTTAACAATCAGTGCCCTTTCAGGGAGGTTTTCATTGCCAGCAGCTAACCAGCTCTTTCTCGGGCTGGGAAGAGGAAGAAGGCATAATAAAACCAGGGATAAAGGAGAAAAAGGAAAAAAGAAAAGCCTTCCAAATTCCAGCTGCTGCTGGAACTGGCATACAAACGCCACGGCTCTCCCAGGATGCTCCTGGTTGTTGCAGCTCTCAAGGTCAGTGCAGTCGGACTCACCCAGCGCAACAAGCTGCCCTCAGCCTGAGCAACAGGCCACTGGAGAACAGCTTTTCCTTGGCTCCCTGAAGGGCACCTTTTCTGCCTCGATTCCCAGCAAATTAGCAAACACATCTATTCATCTGTCTCCTGCCTGCGCAGATGAAAGCTGCATCAATCCTGCTCCGAAGGAGTGGATGAGTCATTGCCAAGCTGTGCCACAGCACTGCTCCATCAGGATGGCCTCTTGCCTCTGCAGGGATCAGCCCCATCCCATCCCCAGATCCTCTAATCTTCCCCTCCTGCTTCAGTCTGGAAGGAAAAGTCAGTCACTCAGCAAGACCAAGCAGCTGCTCCAGGGTGTGGCATGTGGCAGGAAGCTCATCCATAGGGCTTTTCCTTCTTTTATGAAAAGCAGCACATTTCCATCAGGTCTGCCACACTGAGACTGTCAGCCAGGAAGGATTCAACCTACACAGTGGGGTTATGTATCAGGATTTATCCCGCACCAAAGGCCCACCCCTACACTCCAGGTGCCCTGTGGTTGAAACCATCCATCTCAGAAATAGCTACTGACGCCATCTGAGCTGGAGCAATGATGTGCAGACAGAGCCAGAGATGGCAGGAAAGACTAAGATTATACCCTAATCTCCTCTTCCTTTCTTTGCCATTCCTACATGTCTGGAAAAAAGGCACTCATTAACTTGTGCACGCAGCAGACAGACCTGTGCTCTCCGTCAGGAAACACCAGTTGGCACCAAAGGTGGCTGAGAGTTTCTGCAGCACAGTGGAGGGAGCTGCTTTCCCAGTGCTCTCCCCATCCTGCTCTTCTCCACCTTCTTGTCTAACCCCTAAGGAGTGCAGCTTGGACCACCCTGTCCTTTGGGAAGCATCCTCAGGGGTCTGTGCCTGCTCCCTCTGCCACGTGTGGAGTGATCTGTCAGGGCCGGAAGGGTTTGTGTCCAGTCCCCTGCCCCTTCCCAGCCTCCTCCTGCAACTGAGCAGCACATTTTGTTTCCCAGCACTTCAACTCCTCAGTTCCAATGGGGGAAAAATAGCATTTCTCCCCTCTTCTCATCTGCTGAGGGAACAAACACGTTAAAAGCAGGGAGATGCCAGGCAGGCACCCGAGAGGAGCGATGGCAGAGTAGTGACTAAGCCTTTCCCATCCCCGAGAAGTGTTGTGAAGACAGATGAGGTAATGCACCGCCTCTTGATATTACCATAAATATTAAAGCAGCTTTACATAAGGAGCTTGTGTTCGCTCAGCTGCCGAGAGCAGCTCCCCAAGGAGGATTTTAGCTCCCTTTTTAGCTCCCTTCCAGCCCTATTTCAGGCCCCCCCCTCCTGACGCAACGCACAGCAAATGTGATAAAACACAACGCAAGCACCACGCCAGCCGAGTCACTTGTCACAGATGCTCTTAAACAGCCCCGGTGCACCAGGAACAGGCTGTGCAGGAGCCTGCTGTGCTTCCCAGCCCTCCCAAACCCAACCCTCGGAGACAGCAGCACCAAGTCACAGCAAACACCATTGACCCACTTCACTCTGATGAGATATTTATGAATCCTTTTCCCAATCTGCTGTTTGCTACTCCCCACATCTCCCCCCACCTCAGCCCTGGATTAAACAATTCCCTCTCAAACAAGCCCTTTGAATCTTGCCGTGGAGAGTGTCAGATGCTGGAAGTATTTTAACAGTGGCAGCAGCCTCAAATTGCTGCCATGGGGGGAGATTTGCCAGCAAAGCCTCGGCTGCGACATTCCTGCAGCTGCTCCGAGTCCCAGCATGTTCACTGCTGGTCCAGCTGGGGCTGACAATGATCAAAAACCAGCATCCACCACCCCCACAACCCCCAGAGAGTGGTTAGGACCCTGCTCTCCTCTCTCCCACTGTCACCGAGCTGTGTCAGCTCTCCCAGCCCAGGTGATTGGGTTATCCCTGGTACCAAGGTGAGATGTGGGAACAGTCACCAACTGCACAGAGGTGGCTTGTAACACCGGTGCTGGTGACCTGCTGGAGGCTGCCCAGCCACACTGCCCACACAGGTGACACAGCATTTCAGACTCATTTCAGACCAGGAAGAGCCCAGAGAAAGGACATGAATGGTCTCTTTCCACACCACGACTTCTGCAGATGACAAGCTCTGAGCCAAGTGTCACCTCTGCAAGCCACACACATCCTGTCCCCAAAGGTCTCCTGGGATGGACATGGCAGACATTTTACTCTCCGAGAGATGGAGGAGGCATTGCTGACACACCACATTCCTGCCAGGGAGGGGATAAGCTTTTGTTCTTTTTGGCTTTTTTAACCCCAAACTCAGCTCGAACCTGCCCTGGTAAGACATCCTGCCTGTACACAGCCCCGTACACAGCAAAACCAAGGCATCACCAAAACAGCCGCGGGAAACAGAAGGGTTTGTCTCTGGCCACGTGCTCGGACTGACGTCCACAGGGGTGGGCACTGAGTTACACCCGGCACGGCCCTGACCTGCTGTCAGGGGAGGAATCACACCCAGCAAGGCTGTACGACTGCCTGCTCACCTGCTCCAGTGCCACGAGCCCCCCCAGCACAGCTGCACTCTCAGACACATCTTACAGAAAAACAGCCCCTAGAATTTGAGAAAATGTGAAAATACTTTGCTGAGACTGGGTTGAAAATACCCTGCTGCAAAGCCTGGCTCCTCAGGGCCCTAACACAGTCCATGTGTCCCCCAGAAGAGGGTTCAGAGCACCTCATTTTGCTGTACTGGTCCAGCTTTAATCCTGGGTTTGATGCCCCTTCAGACACAGAACTAAATGATGTTTCCCCCTTTGTAATTCTGGGGTTTTGTAGCAGAACAAAATGGTAGATTTTAGCCTTCAATAGGTCTGAACCCTCTCCCTCTCAGGACTGAGCACCCCTCACCCCAAGACAGAAATCCAGGGAACAAAGGAAAGGATTGTCAGGCAGGAGGACTTTTTTTCCATGGTAGTTATTTGTCAGGACACTGACATCAAAGCACTGGGGTGGTTTCAATCGGGAACAGTTTGGGAGATGCAGCGTAAGATGTGCGGCAGCAACAGGAATGGTGGTGCTTTAACCCAGAGTGTGACACCGCACAGGGATCTGGGTGCGTCCTGCACCCTACCCTGGGCACCTCCCCCATCTTGACTTCTCCAAAGACACTCATTTCATTTTTTTTTTTAATGCTTTTCCAGCCCTTCCAGAGCCAAAAATTCAATGCCAGGGACTCTGTGGCATGGGGAACGGGTTCCTGCACTGAGAGGTGGCACAGCCCTTCCTAGGGGCAGTCTGGGACCTCCCATGACACCAGAGGGCAGGTCACCAGAGCCCCAAAGTCCAGGAGAAGCCAGCCCAGGAGCCTCCTGCTATTGAAAAGGTAACGATCACCCCTCCAAGCACAGCCCCATCCCTTGGCATCGGCGACTCTCCCTCCTCCAGCCCCTGCAGGTTTGCACCACGTTGGCTCTGCTCAACCCTGCAGAGGGAGGTTACACCCCCAAAATACTCCCCAGGGAATAGAGAAGAGATTCCCCACATCCATCCCAACACCCTGGCTGGGGCCATGGGCCAGGCCTCGGGTCTCTGCTCAGCTCTGTGTCTGTGGTGCCAGCTCAGAGATGACATGACAGGGGCAAGCAAATGTCCCCTGCCTCTTGGATAAGGGTGGGCATCCATTCCTTCCCACCACTGCTCCTTACCCCAAGCATGCCAGCACTTGGGAAAAGCCTTTGGCAAGAGGGCAGATGCTTCCAAATTGTGGTGCTGCTCCCTAAGCAGCCACAGGCCAGTTCCCAGCTGCACAAGGCTGGTTTCCTTTCTGACAGATCTTGCTTCTAAGGCCTCTTCCTGTGGCCAGTATCCCAAATTCAGTACTCTCAAGCAAAAAAAGGATGAGGCATATATGTGACACAGTAAAAAGAACCCTAACCACTGCAGGAAGCAGCAGAAAATTTATCATCACTCCCCAGTTTATGGGCACCCAACCCTTCTACCTGATGCAGGATCATACCAGGCTTTCATGGCATCACCCTCTTTGCAGCTCAGCAAAAAGATTTTGGAGGCAATTCCACACGTGCAGAGCTGGGTCTGGAATCTGGCAGCCCCCAGATCTGCAGGCGTCAGCCTGGAAACTGTTGCTCTGCAGCTGAAATGTAAGAAGCCACTGCAGGCAGACGAGGGGCCAGTTCCACACGAGGCAGTGACCTTCCAGGCAGGCTCCTGGCATGCTCTGGGGTAAAACCCATCCTTTCCCTTGTGCAGCAAAACCAGAGCGCTCTCATTCCCTGCAGAAAGCTGGGAAGGATCTGGGAAAGATGGCCAAAGCTCCTCCAGCATAGAAATGCCTGCCCAGAGAGCTCCATCCCTCCCTCTGCCCTGTCTGCCTGTCCCTACACCCAATCCAGGATGGGGAGACTGTGCCAGGGCGCTCTCCAGCCCCCAGGAGAGGGGATGGATGCAGAGGGATGAGTATCCAAACGCAGGGGAAATCTGGGATTTCTTCCCCCATCCTTCCACAGTATCATGGGGTTAGAGGCTGGTGTTGAGCACTGTGGCTGAGAAAGGACAGATGGAGAACGCTGAAGGTCAAACCTGTGAAGGTCAGACTTTTGGAGGTCAGGCTTGAGATGGAGCACGGAGCTTAATCCAGCAGAGTCCATCCTCCCTCTCCTGACGGCATCCTGCCCAAGCCCCACCCAGGAAAACGGGGCTGTGCCGGGGGGGGGGGGGGGGGCTTCCTCCTCTTGTCCCAATACCCAAGTTTTTCCAAGCTGACCTCGATTCAGT